GGGCATGTATTTAAAGGGGATTATTAGAAAACTGGTCTCTCATTTTTACCTTTTTTCTTCTAAGCTGCCATGAGTTGAACAGGCTTCCTCTGTCATATGCTTCTGCCACCATGTACTACATTGCCAAAGGCCTGAAGTTATGGGATCAGGTGACTATGAACTGAAACTATGAGCCAAAATAAACCTTTCTTACTTTTAAGTTGATTATCTTAAGTTATTTGGTCACAGTAACTGAAAGCTAACTAACAATGTAGTACATGGTGGCAGAAGCATATGACAGAGGAAGCCTGTTCAACAACAGCAAAAGACACTATATTAGTCCATTTTTTAGAATATCAGAGACAGGTTTCCTCAAAAGACTAGGCATGGAACCAAAGAACCATATGACCCAGCTGTACCACTACTTGGTATTTATCCTGAAGAATTAAAGTCATCATACTATAGTGCTATGTGCATACTCATATTTATAACAGCACAATTCACAATAGCCAAACTATGGAACTGGTCTAGGTGTCCATTAACAGATGAATGGATAAAGAAAATGTGGTTTATATACACAATGGAATTTTATTTATCCATAAAAAAAATGAAATTATGCCATTTGCAAGAAAATGGATGGAACTAGAGACCATTATTTTAAGTGAAATAAGCCAAACTCAGAAGGTCAAGGATTGCACGTTTTCTTTCATGTGTGGAAGCTAGAGAGGAAAATAGAAAAGATGTGTATGTGGGGAGTTCTCATGAAAACTGAAGAGAGATCAGTAGAGTAGAATAAAGGGAATAGGAGGAGGGAGGAGGAGAAGGAAAGGGAAAATACAGGGAATGATATTGGGCCACATTTTATTTTTATATTGTGTGCAAGTATGAATATGTAACAACAAATCCCACCATTATGTGCAACTATAATATACCAATGAAAATATAAACAATAATATATGCATGCATTATTCATCTTTGTTAAATCATGTATTTCACATAAACACATACCTATGACTACCACCAAAAATAAAACCTAACTCTACTTCAGAGGAAATAAAACATTTTTCTATATAGTCCTGGATTAGAGAGGAATTTAGAATAATGACAATATATATTTTTCTACAAATAACA